CAGATCACGGCACTGTGCTGTCATCCTGGTCACATGGGTTCAACTCCTGGATATGTATCGGTATATCATCAGTGGCTTACGTAACGTATACGTGGTGTTCATCAACGTCGTCTAAAATGAATAGCTGGTGCAGTGTCATCATCAGCATGAAGCAAAGTTAGCCGTGTGTAGTCCCGGTCATACCATCCTATCTTAATCATCTGCCCTGCCAGATTGCAATAGGTTTTCGCTCACAGCACTTAGCCTCCTGTAGAAGTAAAATAGGGTGATGTGTGTGTGTGTTTGGCCTGTATGAGTGTGATATGGTTGGGTGTAACTGTAGGTCCGTTTCTGTGTGCGTGACATGTGCACGTGGTTCTGTGTGTGTTTGTGCATGTGGTCGTTCGCACGCCTATGTACAAGGTTGCGCGTGAGTGTCTCTTTGTGTCAATATTTTGCATGTGTTGTGCATGTGTGCAACATTAAAATGTGCCTGCGTGTGTGTAAGGGAGACAAAGGTGGTCGGGCGTGGTGCTGGCCACCTAGTCCCTCGTGTGCCGTTCTGGCCTTAATAATTGCCCACTAACAGCACTTGCCCCAAAGTCTGTTAAGGCTCTACGGGGAATCTTTGCTACTGTAGTTCATTCGTCTGTGGACCGCTGGTATAGTGAGTGGTTAGCACACAGTACCAAAACTTTGGCAACCTGAGTTTGATTCCCGGCCTTGGCTAAGATCAGTGGGGTGTCACATCTGAATTTATTCTGGGCCTCCCCTAGGCAAACTCAGCATTGAATTCGTATTTGGTACCACGCGTAAACATCATCACTGTGGGGAGACAAAGACGGTCGGGCACAACGCTGGCCACATCAAGTAAAACCGAAGTAAGACTGGCCTCAGCAGTCTTATTTCGGTTTTACTTGGCGGGGGGAGGGATCTTTGTTTTCGTCCTTTGTTCATTAGTGTGTGACTGGATGGATCTGTTAGTGAGTGTGTGTGGTCAGGGAAGAGGCTCCCTAGGGGGCAGGCACTGATGCAAGGAGGTAACTAATGTTTATCCGGCCTGGTATCTGAGAAAGCGCTACGGTATAGGAAACAGCTGTCAGCAAGACCTCGCATATACAAACTGTGAATACGTGCCCATCCTTACGCAATTAAAGTATGCTGTAATGCGTTGCAAAGTGAAGCATGCGCTTTGACAACGAATAAAGGGAAAGGCTTATGTTTTGGCCAGTTGGATTTCCCAAGTCTTCATTTGGGAAAGAAATGAGTACCAAATGTGTTCTCTCTCTCTCTCTCCCCAGAACTTTGTGTGAGTAATCCAATTCTGTCATTAGCGAACCCGGTCAGAATTACAGGAAGTAGTGTAATCTTCAAGGATAAAAAAAACCCCGAGGAGAATTAATGTCTTAAAAACATGACTTTACATTTACAGTATTTCATTTGTAAAAAAAACACTGACATTACAAAGAAACGTTATATATATATTTTTAATAACAAATCGTGTTTATGCCCTGAAAAGGCTGTATCGTGGTAACAAAAAAACCCGCTCGGCAAAGTACAGACAGACACATTTGTTCTATTTGCCTGCAGGCAATTTGGCAATCACATCTGTTTCATGCAGCCGTGTGTTGTGCCTTAAAGCTGCAGTATACATGGCTGCGTCTGGTTTTCCTTTTCCTCGGCCTCCTTAAATATGCTTTTTCAACTGTCTACAACGTTTTTTTTAAGCCATAACCTGTTTCCAAAATGCTGCCTAAGCCTTAATTATCACCCTGCCGGTAGTGTATGTACATTTTTGTTTCGATTAGCAGCATGCGATGCCATTGACATTTTTTTATCCTTTAAATACATTTTTTTGGGGGGGAAAAAAACCTTTTTTTGAGACATCGAAATATTTCTATACAGTGTACATTTTAAGTATTATTTTAAGCTCTGCATTTTCAAACCGTTTTTCATCCGGATAGGTTAACGAAAGTCAGAGTGCTAATAGCAAAACGTTAAGATCATTTAAATATTATAGGCAGCAAGGGATCTAGTTTTACATCAACAAAATTAATAGCCATGCACGCCGCTGCATTGGATAATGTCTGTCATATGCTTTATAATGGTCCCTGGAATGTCTTGCTCTGTGACCTTACCGCAGAGCTTTTTGACAGCCTCCGGTAAACCTTTTAGAGGAGGCATGCAACACGCGTTAGGGTGCAAAAAAATGACACTCTTCCAGCCAGATCGCCCTGCTTTCTCTTCAAAACAAAGGCAGCAGAGTGAATGGGGTGTTCGTGTCTGTAAACAATATATCACGGGGAGTAAAACTGTAGCAGTTAGTGCACTGTGCTGTGAACCCGACGACCAGCGTTTGATTCCCTGCTCAGGACCTAATATATGTGGGCCTTTATCTGAACTAATCATGGACCTCCTCTAGGTATACCCAGCCTTAAATGAGTGCCTGGTGCAGTGTGTAAACTTCAGCACTGAAGAGAAAAAGGCTGCCCTATGTGGTTCTGGCCACACCACCCCGCATTGACCTTAATCGGTGCTCGCAAACAAAACTTGCCCAAAAGCTATATCGGGGGATCTTTGTGTGTTGTTAGTATTGCAGTATCTTGTTCAGATTGAAAGTAACACGTAATGAAATTCATGGCATCTTCTTCTTTCCAAAATAAAGTAGCCAGGTGAATACATCTTTTGTCACATGCAACATTAAAATGCACTATTATACGTTACTTTAAACTTCATGCGTAATGAAATACAGGAATATAAAAAAGACTGAGTATTAAAGTAGCAATTAATAATGTCACAATGCTATTGCTGTTACGTCCTGTTTATGTGGCTTTGAAAACATCCTAATGTTTTTGTGAGTTTTATTTTATTTAGTCTGCACGTCATATTAAAAAATGCTACTGTCCACTGTGACCAAACTCCCATAGAAAGAGTGGCCCCAACGTGACCTCCAGTCTTATTAAAATGTAGCCCACTCGAGAGCAGCCCATCCTGCAACGAGAATCACACTCGCCACTCGCACTCACCAAACACTAACCAATCACATCTCATCCCACTCACAGTCATAAGATGAACTTCCTAGAAACTCACCACTTAACTGCGACCGACTAATGCAGTGTGTTCACCTGCTGTGCACTGTGGTGGACGGTACACCCATTGCATACTCACTTAGATCCAGCACGCTGTGCCACACTCACGGTGTCAGGAAGATGGTCATGTTTTTTAAAATCTTGTTTAAATATCAAAGGTGATGCATGGGTCAGATCTAATCCCGTCGTCGAATGCCCAATTCGTACGGTTAGAATGAGCCCACGCTTGACTCCAAAATTGGCTTCTGCGGTGGGAATGTGGAATTGATGCTCATGGCACAGCACTGCCCAAGCAGAGACGAGCACCCCATCTTATTCGCGCTCGTTCTAGCAGGTAGACCCTTTCACTTCGATGTTTTTACTACATCATTGTACATTTTATAGCTGTGCCATTCTTATCGCGCAAGGCTGCTATCATGAAGGTTCCACTTTTGATAGACTATTATCGTCTGCAGCAGTTTCTCAGTATGTTGAAATGTGACTTTAACCAATTAGATAATTTGCAAAATAACTTTTTATAAATTTGGACCACGATATTTGCCACAAATGGGCCTATTGTTTTTTAATTGATGTCATGAGAACTTTAACGTCTATTGTGAAGCAGATCTGGCATGGATTGTTTGTTTATATTACACCCCCAGCATTAACCAGGGTGGCCGATAGGCTCCAACATTCAAACCGCACCCCTTCCACCCTCCCGTAACAAGCGGCAGGCGCTACTTCGCAGCCATTTTATTTAAATTAATGAAAAAATATATCATTAAACGCTCTTCACACTTCTGAAATAATCTCTTGTGGCACATTCACAGACAATGTTTTTGGCCGATGAGAGTAAGAAGTACAGGTTGATGATTCATCGAGTGGTTCATATGCGTTCCACATTTCAAGAAAAGCCTATTTTTGTGAAAATGGATTTGTTTCCAAAACATAACATTTGGTGTTACGGTTCTGCCTTTCGGTTTAGTCGTAGTTAAGTTTGATATTTGTTTAACATTCAATGTTTTATACTTTGTTACTGTACTTCGGGTAAGTATATATAGAGAATTCCGGTCAAATAAAATAGGCATATTTAACCTTTGCCACACATGTAGAAATCCAAGAATAATTGTGTTTATAGCAACACATTGACAGAAAAGTGATTTATAATACAAAACCAGCTGCTATAAATTATAACTTAGCCTTTCCTGTGTTTTTCTTTCATGAGAGTCCGCTATGACAAGATACAGGAGCCAGAATCCATATAATAATAACATTGTAAAGTGTTCAATGGAGAAGTAATAGCCTGAATGAAAATACTTTTTTTATGGAATGGAAACACATTACTGTATAGTAATGCGTACATTTCAGGGCGCCGTAAAGCAGAGATTTGCACAAAGTGCGGTAGAATATACATGTCACGAGGTTAAAATGTTCTCGGTCAAGAAATAGTACAAACAATTGTACACCTTAAAAAAATAAACCAGGCAACTTCCACATATTTTGCACTGGAGACATTCTTCCAGACCCATGAGAGCACTGCTCCGGATTTCCTTGTCTTCTCATGAATAAATGTGCGCAATCAAGGCTTGAGTTTAGTCGGGTCTGTCTGGGTCAGTGACCCAGAAAATATTTCTGCACCTAATGCACCACATCCAGTATACCTATCAACATGATTGTTGTTGCTCCTCTCGAGTAACCTACTCCAGTCGACCAGCCAGCAACCTGGAAAATATTAATGGGGAAATTACGCCCTGTTATGCAATATACTGTTCGTGACTGAATTTAATTGCTGAACATGGAAATCTGGACCACTGCTGGGGGATGGTTACGCAAGGACTGCCATTTTGGAGCCTGATGCCTTTTTCAAAATGGCCACATTTATAGAGTTCTCATTGTCACAGATCACACTTGAGAACCTTCAGGCCTTCAGCTGTTGAACTCCCGTGTGCTCAGGACATCCGGAACCAGCGGCGGTACCGGCAGAGGCGCAAGGCGGAGCTGGTGAAGCTGCAGCAGACGCTCGTCGCCCTCAATTCCAAGACGACGTTCTACCAGGAGCAGACCAACTACTACAACCAGTACATCCAGACCTGCCTCGACAACCTGGCCCACAAGGGAAAGTAGGTCACCGCGAGTCACTCGCGCGGGAATGCTTCCTTGAGTCACTCTTTACGCCGGTGAATCATTTGGGCTTCAGGTGATTGTAGTGTAAGGAAAACTACACAAGCCTGGAGGGGGGGGGGGGTGTTTGAGTGTTTTTTCTTCAATATGTTTTCCCGCACTCAGAGACCCTTATCGTTGGCTGGAAAAAATATATATCGACTGAGTCTGTGCGAATGGTTCATAGATTTTGAATCGAAGCAGCATCGAGGTCACACAATGCCCTTCTGTTCTTGTGAATCAGGTTGGATTCCAGTATACGGACCTTTAGAGAATGATCCCTGATCCTTTTGTGGATTCAAGCTCCATTAAGAGGATCTTTCTGGATTTATGGACAAAAAGTAAACTCCCCAGTAGAACAGTCTGCTGTGTTTTTAGACGAGTTGCACATTCCAGGCTAATCCCATCAATGGCAGTGTTAAATGATAAAGCATTGACGATATTACTGGGTAGGAGGTGTAACCTTATAATCGAATTAAAACTGGTACGTTATGCATACAAAAAACGTCACTTTTTCTGCTCTACTGTCTCTGATCTGCGTGTGCATGCTTCATTGGAGGAGCGGACGGAAAGGGAAAGCCGAGGAAAAATCAGGACGGAAAGGAAAGCCTCAGGTTCTGCACTACACAGCTGCCCGCCTCTACGAGAAGGGAGTGCTGCTGGAGATAGAAGACGTCACCTTAAACCAGTACGTGCTGCGTTCATCTCGGCCACGATGGCCACGCTGACTGGGACAGCTGGATAACATTTGTGGTGTTTCAGAGGTGGCCGCGTTGCTCGGGATCTCAAGAGAGCTGAACTGGCAGCGCTGAGATCCTGCATTCGAATCTGGGTTTCATTCGCCCCGTGTTTTTTTTATATTAGTTTCTTAATTTCAGCGAGTTGACGGTATGTATGTCGATGTGTGTACGCTGAACTTATTTCACACCGCATGTAGCCAACCACGCTAATCGGAAGTGCATGTACAAACAAAAACGCCACGTCAAATGTTATTTTTAGTGCTTCATTTGGCTAAATTCCAGCTCTGAAATGATCAGTTTGTCATGTACAGACGTTATTTTCTGCAGCAAGCTTGGTGGGAATATGCTGCACGACAGTGTGCATTGTAGTTCTGTGAGATCTGCTTTTGTGGGTCATTCTCTAATATGAAAGGTGAGAGTTCTGAATGGATTATTTGTCTCATGGATTCATGCCGATGGCAAAATCAGGGAAAATTGATGGAGAATAAATAAATGAATGACCATAGTGGGGATGTTATTAGTCTCCGGGAGTGGGCTGTCCAGCCGATCTCAACGGACATTTTGTGTTCATTATCTGTTGTATAACCATTGTGTTTAAAAATTTTGGAACAATTTCATAATCACCTTCCGTACCTTTTTACATGTTGCGAGTACAATACAGTACCATTCATTTGAGTGCATATGCTATGTGGTTTCCGTGTCCAAAGTTGTTCTGCCTTGTTATGACTATCAAAGACAAATATTCCCCTATAGCCATACAGAATTGTTGGGCAAGTGCTGATAGCAAGCGCCCATTAAGGCCGGCACGGCATACAATGACGCGGTGTGCCTGGGATCATGCACGCGTGCGTGGCGTGGTCAGCACTAATCCCAACTGCCCTTACTCAGTGCTGATGTTTACATGCCACACCAGGCACTCGTGTTAGGATGAGCGAACATAGGGTGAAAATATACTCTTAGTTCTTTCGGTAAAGTCACGTAGGTAAAATTAATAAAAATAAAACAATAAAAATCACGACGTTTCGGAGGCAACACAAGCTTCCGTCTTCAGGTGAAACCGTCACAGCAAAATATCTGTACCTTATATAGTGGTTAAGGAGGGAGGAGCCAGGAAGGGCAGCGGGGGAGGAGGAGTTGTGAAGTGGAGTTGTGTAGGGTGAAAACCCAGGACCGATTCAGACACCACTTGATGATGATATTCGGCATGGCTGGGAATTGAACTCAAGGTGCCTGGTTCATAGCGCACTGCACTCAAGACTGTACCGCAGCTCCCCACAAATAAATAAAACACACGTGCAGAAATGAAACGTGAAGAGGGCATGCATTGGTCTATGCAATGCATACAAAGTATTACCTCCTTGAAATAAAAAAAATCCGTATATTTTACATTGCAAGATAATAACCAGATCGGTACCTTTGTTTTGCATGTTGCTACCGTCATTACAGTTGTATTGTGTTATGCACAGAGCAGACAGAGTATTGAATGATTAAATACATTGACATTAATCCTTTTAAATTGTATTTAGTGCACTGCCATTGAGAGGCACAGTGGCACATGAAATATACTTGATTATGACCAAATCCTGATGTGATTGGCAGCTATAAAACATTAAAGAGAGAAATGAAGGGTAAAATAAAAGCATATATAGATATATCAACAGGTCCGTATGTGGACTATATTCTGCCTGGTCTTATGTATATGCATAATATGTGTGCTCAATACATCTGCGCAATATCAACCGCCGTATAAATGAATGCGTGGACTTTCAACCCAATTCTGCAGATCAAAGAACGTATCTGTATAAGGCTGGCACCTGCCATAAGCAGATGACTCCTGCTAGTTTAGCGTCTCATTAAAACAGTTTCATTGCAAATGAGCTGTTAGAGATGTTTGTGATTTAGGAGAAAGTACAAGATAACATGTATTCATTGCCTGATAATGTTTACGGAAACATCTCACCACCCTCCATGACCTTCCCCACCTATAATAGGGACAGTATGCTCTGCCCTGAAGCCAATTATAGAAATTCCCCCGCACACATTCAAAGTTACAGCCTTTTCAAAAGCTCCTGGTCAAAGAAAGGGATCCAGGCATGCAAGTAGGATTCACGTCTTTTGCTTATCACTTGTTTTATAATTCACATGTGGATATGCTAATCGCGAAGCACATGTATGACTGGATAATGATACATATACATTTACATTCTTGGAATTACACAAGCAGACTGGAAGAGGAATACATGGATTAGAGAACATACACAAGTTGGAGAGGTCATATTTATTGTTCAGTATGGCAAGTGAGCTAGGGCAGGGCATATCGCTAAAAGGAATGATAGCTGGTGGTTGCCACTATTTACAGTGCAACCAAAGGAGGAAACCCATCCGAGAGATAATCCACCGTGGAAAGGAGCGGTGATATCAACTTGTGTTCAGGAACTTTTAGAATGGCTTTGGGAGACCATCATCTAGCAGGAGATTGATCATGAGTGATCAAGATTATGATGATGGATATGTTTAAAGTGACTCGATTTCTTTTTCCCACTACAGGTTCAAGAATGTTTTGTTTGACATCACGAAAGGAGAGAAAATTGGAATCTTCGAGGTGAAAGCCAAGTTCATGGGAGTTGAAATGGAAAAAGTGGAGCTTAACTTTCAGGTACGGTATACCAGCCCCGTTGCATTATTGACAATGTTCACCTACACTTGGTTCTCATCGTTTACATGGCCACTTTACATTGTTCACAATTTATACCAGCAGTCTGCGTTAAGCAGAGGTGGGACAAAGTCATTGTTATGCAAGTCCAAGTCGAGTCTGAAGTCATCAAATTCATGACTCGAGTCTGACTCGAGTCCAAGTCACATGACTCGAGTCCACACCTCAGAGGTGGGACAAAGTCATTGTTATGCAAGTCCAAGTCGAGTCTGAAGTCATCAAATTCATGACTCGAGTCTGACTCGAGTCCAAGTCACATGACTCGAGTCCACACCTCTGGCGTTAAGTATGAAAACACATTTTCGGTAAAAGTGTGGATGATGCAAATCAGATCAATTCCACCCTCATTTGCCACGGAGCGATCCGAGTCATTATTTTACCAAGCCGGTCTAGAGCTGCAAGGCCACCAAATCATTTGGACTGCTTTCAATCTCATCAGATCTCTGAAGTTAAGCAGGCTCGAGCCTGGTTGGCACTTGCATGGATGACAACCAGGGCTTGCCAGGGTTTGCAGGGTTCATAGGCATCGAGCTTTAAAGTGGCCAGGAGGCACCAGTGTTGAGGGTCATCCCCCCCCCGCCACTCACGTGTGTGGGTTTGCTCTGGGTACTCCAGTTTCCTCATACAAGTCGAACACTCACTAATGTAACTGGCCAAACATCCCAATGCAGGACCCTCCTTAAAAAGTGAGTTAAGACTCGGTGAAGCTTTCCTAGGTGAATGTTTGGCAGCATAACTATGCAAGAACAATTACTTGACTTGCAAATGATTATTATCTGTTACATGATTGTTACTTGTTCATTTGCAGTAGATTGCTGTAATAACTCTGCGAGGGCGTGTGACTTTAATGATAGCCACTCATTCAAACATCCATTGCATGTATTCTTGGCACCGAGTTTGAGGGAACGTAATGACAGTATGAGAATTAAAGTATTAGCACTTGTCCCACACTTTACGGGCTTATAATTGGGAAGATGAGCCATACATATATCATCATCATTATGCGTTAATTGTTTCATTCACATGTTGCCACATTCTCATTCGTTGACAGGACCTTTTGCAGCTGCAGTACGAGGGAGTGGCTGTAATGAAGATGTTCGAACGGGCAAGAGTAAATGTCAACCTCCTTATCTTCCTCCTGAACAAGAAGTTATATGGGAAATGAGTTCTGCATTGGCATGTTTCCTATCTACTAACACTTTTGGTTATACTTTTTTTTTTAATACCCAGTTTGTTTGTTGCAAGGTAGAAAAATAATGATGATTGTACGAGGAAAGAGTTTAATTTGTTTAACAGGATAATCACTTCCATTTGAAGCTTTCGTGACTGCAGGGATTCATCTTCTTGGTTCTTTAGGTAAAGTCACGTAGAAGAGAAATGATAAAATAATAAAAATAAAACATAATATATTATTTTTGGTTCTTTCAGTAAAGTCACGTAGAAGGGAAGTAATAAAATAATAAAAATAAAACAGAATATATTATTTTATTATGTTTAATTTGTATTATTTTATTATTTCCCTTCTACGTGACTTTACCAAAAGAACCAAGAAGAGGATAATCACTATTATAATGTTCAAGTTAAAACAAATGGTAAGCAGAATTCAACTACATTATTAAAAAAATGTGTTATTATAAAGACGAATAATTGTCGAATGGTTGATACTTGTGTTGTGAAATCGCACTTGATTTGATGATGCTCATTGGAAAAAAAAAGGATATAGTTGAATTGGATATTTTTCATTAATTTGATTAAAAAATTATTATTATCAAAGTCCCAGTTTATTTAGAGGTTGCGGAAGTACTCTATATCTGCCACTATTTGTTTTACATAATGGAAATTTATATATTTTTTAAATATTTATGCGCATTGATGCATTTTTCCACGTGTTTATGCATTCGTTTTAAACACGTTATCAAATGTGACATTACGGTGTCTCTGGGCTTCAATCAATTTTATTGAACCAAAGCCCTAATCCCCTGACATTTACTTCGTTAATTCACCACCTAACGGACGACTGAACTTTGCAGACAGACACGGTATAGCTGGAGTCGAAGGAAATCTCATCGTTGCTCAATTAGAAAACAAATATATCATCCTCTTTATGAACGATGCAAAGATATACAGTATTGTAGTAAGCGTAAATTAAGAGAAAAAAAATAAGAATCCAAATTTCGTTAGTAATACACTGCCAAATAATACGTGTATGAATCAATCTATTACAAGCTAAGATTGATGTGTTGCATGTCAGCACCTGTTTTAAATAAATGCACAAGTGCATACTGTATATAAGTCTTAGGAAGAAAAATAGCCTCATTGATATGTTTTTGCAATCACGTTTTTTGCTTGTATCACTTGAAAAGTTAAAATTGTTGGCAGTTTCTATTTTTTGTTCAATCAAATTAAAGGTTAAAGAAAACGTTAGCTTAAATGTGTATTTATATGATGATGTTTGCGTAAAAAAAATATTTTTGATTCAAATAATAAAGTTTTTACAATTGCTAATAATTGGTACATCACCTACAACTACTGGTGAAAATGCAGCATTACATTACTGTACTTAAGAGTAAATATTTATCGTATTTACTGCTTCTAAGGTATTATCATGCAACAATCATGAAGGTATCATCGTGTTTTATTATACATTTTTTAATGGATAGCTTAATAAGGAGTCATGCACAACAATTGCTGGGCTTTCATTAAGGATAAACATTAGCTTGTGCAAGTTGAGAAGCTTTCGGTTTTATAAAATCGAATTTCGTCTACTACTGGTGGCATGTGCTGTGAATTACTCATTGTTTTTACAGGAGCATCCTGCTTATATATGATTGGGTGGAATCAGTCATGTGTAGATTATTACCACTTAAAATATATTCCCTGCATCGTAAATTCACGTATTTGTTGGAGTATAGAGGTGTTATTTTTTAAATAAATTTTTGTTTAATCCACCTCGTGATTTTACAATTTATTGGAATAAGCGACAATATATTTGAAAAAGAAGATGAATTGAAAATCCAGTAAATGATCCTAGCTCTTTTTTACCTCTGTGCCAGTGGCATTCCCCAAACTAAACAAACCATGCTTATATGCAATTATCATGTCATTCTCATATGCCATTCACACATGCCCTGCCAGTGGTAAGTCTCCATGTTGGTTAAATTGGTGTGATTTTGCTAACTTTCATTACTCTATGCTCTTTCTCAAGGCATCTGTGTAAATTAGATTTAGTAGAAAACATCTTGATATCAACATAAACTCCTTTGGGTCACATTTTTGGTTTTGTCAATATTTGGTAAATTCATGTTGGCATAGCCCGCTTTTAATGGAGCCATATACAAGCCGTGCCTGTTTAATGTACGAAAACATGCTCAAAATAACAACATGTAAAGGTGTGCTGACAATCACCAGGAAGGAACGACTCCCATCATGTCTTACATGCATGTTACGTGACCACCACATTACTTGAACAATGCTATTGTTATGGGGATTATAGCGAATTTACATCAAGTGTGGGATTTGCTAACTAATGATATACACTGTTGTATAGTTTAAGCTCATCATTTTATTCGTGAATGGTTGAAACTCCAAATTTGGCACTCTGTTAAGTACACATTTGCTCGGTTGTGCTGGAGGTAAAAGACTGTCTTTTATAGGTATGATAGGAGTCTTGCCTTAATCGGTGCCTGTGCAAGTACAAACGGTGTTGCTTGTTCAGTCTATGGTTACCTTTTTGGAGTGGAAATCTGTTCAATCAAGCCTTCAATGTTGGAATTGCTTAATATAAATTCAACAGCCTTGCCATAAGCAGAAGGCACACATTGTGCACAGTACATTTATAGTTCAAAGAATGGCCCAGAGTTAAGATTGCATTCAAAGGTGGTCTTTGTTGTTCAGTCTACAAGCACCTATGTTAAACATTGCCGCTTTGAATAAACATTTGTAGAGTGGCAGAGCAACACATAATTGAGCTTTTTCATTCAAGTTAAAACATATAAATATATGCCATGTCGAATTAAGTTAGACACTGTTTCATTTGGCTGGAGAGATGTTACCACTTATCATGTTTCCGAGACCATGTAGCTCTATTCCAGTGATGCAAAAAGAAGGTTGCATGTGCAATACTGCATGTATTAGGTCTACTCAGCCGCAAATGAGTACCTGGTACGATGTGTAAACATCGCCATTAGGTGTGGTGCTGGCCACCCATCCGCTCGTGTGCTGTGCCGGCCTTCATAGGTGCTCGCTAACAGCACTTGCCCCAACAGGATGTTGGGGCTATGAGGGTGATCTTTGTCTTTGTATTGCACATGCAATACATGCAGTATTGAGCAGAAGCTACCTTGTCTGTCACTACACACGAAGTTCTTCTCGGCCACAATCATGCCCTCTAAGCTTGCGAAATGTGGAGTCCCCTAATGATACATCTGTGCCGGTTAGAAACATTCAGGCTGGCCTGCCTATAATCCATCCTGGGTTTAACCAAGCTGGATTGTGTGAGGAGCTCACAAATCCTAAAAGATCTGGATAAAGTCCCATCGTTGAGCTCTTCTGGCAGGCAAGGCTGCGTTGCCTGGGTCATGTAGCCCGCATACCCAGCATGCCGAAACAGCTTTTGTTTTGATGCACGGCACGGGCTCGAGAAGAGATGGACTGATGTACAGAAAGATGTGGAGCTGATTGGATTAGCTAATGACTGGTACCAGCAGTGTCAAGATCGGCCTCCAACTGCGATGCGACACATCACGTGGCCTCCAAGTGCACATCGCTTGGCACAAGCGTCGTAGTGACGTCACCATCCCTTAGTGGCGAATGGAGGCTGTTTCAAAAAAAATTAATTGGTTATGAACAATGGTGCATGTTGGAGACCCAGAATATAACCACATTTCTTGAGTGTTATAGCCCAATAGAAACAAAGCAAATTGAACATAAAGAGAGTATTGATACGAACGACAGCGTTGCTTCAACAATACATCATTTATTATCAGATTTAAAAACAAACCGCATTGACTTTTCGATTTAAAGCTTTCGTGACTGCAGGGATTCATCTTCTTAGTTCTTTCGGTAAAGTCACGTAGAAGGGAAGTAATAAAATAATAAAAATAAAACATAATAAAATAAAATAATTCTCACGACGTTTCGGCTACAACGCAAGCAGCCGTCTTCAGGTGAAGAATGAGACAATGCCAAGCTAGGAGCTTATATATAAGCTGCGTTGGAGGTGGAGGAAAGAGCGCCTTAACAAAAGAATGTGCATATGAAGAGGAATTTAGCATATTCATGGAAAATGCGTAGGAGGTGGGCGGGGGGGTTTCAAAGTCATATTATGCCCATGCATTATGCAGGATCAACAGCACCAAGGGGGGGTGCAGGGATTAGCAGTAACAAAGGAAAGGAATGTTAATGATATGTAGCTGCAGTTACTCAACCACCACGTAGAAAACTAAAGTATAAACTACATAAAAAACTAAAGTATAAATAGCATAGCACCATCAGTATACTTACTATACTCTACACTAAGCTGAGTTACTAACAGCAAGTAATACATTACAATTCTACGTCGTAAAAATTATATAATATGCTTCCATCTAAACTTTATTCTATTGCATCACACGAGCATATACCGTACTATATACTGCCAACATTAAATTATATACTGTATTGCTGTAAACCAACCTATATCTTATACATTTAATATAACACTATGTATTATTCTACCCACCCTAATGTGTGTCGAAATGGTTTATTACGTCCTTCCAATGATTGCTAAGCCAGAATCCATCTTCTCGGTTAAAATTGTCTCTGTGTTTGTATATGTGGATCGCCTCATGAACGAATCTCTCATGATAGCCAGATGGCTTGCAGAGAACCTCTGTCTTGGAGAAGTCAATATCATGTGAGCCCACTGAGTTGTAACAGTGATCTGCCACGGCTGAGGTGTTTGTCCTACCGTGTTTCAGGTCAGCTTTATGTTCACGGATGCGGTCCGAGACATGTCGTTTGGTTTCCCCAATGTAACTGCTACCACAGAGGCAACTTAGTTTGTAGACGCCAGGGTACTGTATGTCTGGAACCACATCTTTTACAGACGGTACCAGATCACGGATTTTATGTACTGTGTTGAATCGGACCTGGATCTTGTGTTTAATCAGGATTTTGGAGATCTTTTTTGTGACCCCAGCAATGTAGGGTAAGGTGATGGTCTTGAAAGGCTCCTCAACAGGATCCTTCTTGATGGTTGGAGTGATGGCTTTGCGGATTGTGTAGTCGGAGTAACCATTAACCTTAAGAGCTTGGCGTACGTGTTTGAGTTCACTGGAAATGTGTTCATGGTCGGAGATGCATTGGGCTCTATGATATAGAGTCTTGATGAGGGAATTCTTCTGGGATGGATGGTGGTGGGAATCCGGTTTTAGATAAGCATCCGTATGGGTGGCTTTCCTGTAGACAGAGTGGCTCATTGAACCATCAGGTCTCCTTTTGATTAGGACATCCAAAAAGGGTAGCTTGCCATCTTTTTCGACTTCCATGGTGAATCTGATGGCTGGGTGTATGGAGTTGATGTGGTCGAGAAATTGGTCTAGAGCAGCACGGCCATGTGGCCAGATGACAAAAGTGTCGTCTACGTACCTCTTCCATAAGGTCGGGCGTAGAGTGGCAGTCTGGATGGCGTCCGTCTCAAATTTCTCCATGAAGATGTTGGCTACAACCGGAGATAGGGGGGAGCCCATTGGGGTGCCCTCAGTTTGCTTGTAGAAAGTTTCATTCCAGGTGAAGTATGTATTGGTTAAGCAGTGTCTCACCAGGGGGGGTACCCCAGCATTCAGTCCATGATGAACCAAGTCTTCAATGATTGCGATGGTATCAGGTACAGGAACCTTGGTGAATAAGGAAACCACATCAAAACTGACAAGCAGGTCGTCTGGGGACAGGGCAATCCCCTTGATTGTCGATACCAGGTCAGTAGAGTTTAGTACCGCAGAGGTGGTTTTTCCAGTGAAAGGCCGTAGGATTTCAGACAAAAAACGAGCCAATTTATAGGTGGGGGAGTTGATAGTAGAGACAATGGGACGAAGAGGTGTATCTTCTTTATGTATCTTTGGCAAGCCGTATAATCTTGGTGGCCTGGCTGCAGAAGGTTTCAACGAGAACTGTTTGGTCTGATCAAATAATGCGGTTGAATCAGAAATGATTTTGTTGGTTTTAGTGACGAGGCTGTTGGTGGGGTCTCTTTTAATTTTTGTATAGCTGCCATCGTTGAGTAGTTCTTGAATTTTGTTGTTGTATTCTATTTTGTCCATGATGACAGTGGCATTGCCTTTGTCGGCTGAGAGGATGACAATGTCTTCCCTCTTTTTTAGCTCAATTAAAAAAGAGGGAAGACATTGTCATCCTCTCAGCCGACAAAGGCAATGCCACTGTCATCATGGACAAAATAGAATACAACAACAAAATTCAAGAACTACTCAACGATGGCAGCTATACAAAAATTAAAAGAGACCCCACCAACAGCCTCGTCACTAAAACCAACAAAATCATTTCTGATTCAACCGCATTATTTGATCAGACCAAACAGTTCTCGTTGAAACCTTCTGCAGCCAGGCCACCAAGATTATACGGCTTGCCAAAGATACATAAAGAAGATACACCTCTTCGTCCCATTGTCTCTACTATCAACTCCCCCACCTATAAATTGGCTCGTTTTTTGTCTGAAATCCTACGGCCTTTCACTGGAAAAACCACCTCTGCGGTACTAAACTCTACTGACCTGGTATCGACAATCAAGGGGATTGCCCTGTCCCCAGACGACCTGCTTGTCAGTTTTGATGTGGTTTCCTTATTCACCAAGGTTCCTGTACCTGATACCATCGCAATCATTGAAGACTTGGTTCATCATGGACTGAATGCTGGGGTACCCCCCCTGGTGAGACACTGCTTAACCAATACATAC